TGCTGTTGCATCCCTAGGACCTGGCACCATACACAGCACTATGTGTCAAATAAATGTTAACTGTTCACATAGGTAATAAGTGCCTTTCTGACCAGGATTTGATCAAAGGCCTATTTTAACTCAGAGTCTTCTCTTTTTCCAAATCAAGGAAGGGCATACAAGTTTTTTTCTAAAACATGGGTTGTATGTTCTCTACTGCTCTACTCTGCCCTTATAGTCAGAAAGCAGCCATACACAGTATGTAACTATATGAGGATAGTGTATCATTATAAAACTTTATTTATAAAACCAGGCAGACAGTCCACAGTTTGCCGACCCTTGAAACTGTCACTAAGATAACTAAAAAGACAAAAATACCAATCAGTATTTGTATTTTATTATCCAATTAAGAAAGGCTCAGAACTGAAAACTCTGTGTTGGGACTTGGGGTATTTACTGATTTGGTCATGGTTTGATCATCTTGCTTCACTGATGCAACAGAGAACTAACTATGTATGACTTGCCTTTCTTAAGCCTGGCTATGAGAAAGTCAGACCTCACAAAACAGGCTCTTCAGAGAATCCCCTATTCTGAAATAGAAAAACTATCATTCATCATTTTATATAAATAAAGAACGAGGAGTGTCTCAGCAAATGATAATTCCACATGGTAATATAAGCCCATGTAGTGGAAGGAATCAGGGCAGGACCTCAGGAGAATTATCTAATTCAAGTCCTGCAATGAAGTTGTTCAGCTTCCCTGTGTTAAATGGAGATGACACAAACGTCAAAAAGCTGTATAGTTGGGAAAAAATATTTTTTAAAAACCTGAAGTCTATTAACATGTAGTTTGACGATTTATGATCAAACAATCTTGAGTAAAGATTTGGAAGGATCTAGATCTACACACCTATCTTTTAAGAAATTATTCCTGGCATAGGCAAGAATCTTGCCCCACATCAAAAAAACTCTCACAGAAAAATCAAAAATAGTCATTTAAAGTACTGGAACCAAAAGTAAAAAAAAGTAGCTCCTTAAGAGGGGTAGAGTAGTTCGTATTCCCTCCATTGTTTCAAGAGAAGCAACACACACACACACACACACACACACACACACACACGAGAAAAAAACAAAGTATGTGCCACAGACCATTAGGAAAAGTGTATGGTGAGGAAAACTGTCAACTTTTTAGAAGTCAAGGCCAATGTCTTTCTTATGAATTATTTCTATTTCTTTCTACTCTCTCTCCTTCAGAAGGTTTTGCAAAGATCAAACAAGATATATATAAAAGTGACAGGCAAACCGTTAGGCCTTATAAAAATGTAAGAAGCATTTTAAGTATTATTATCATCATCATTATTACACTGACCACTGAACTACTGCTGTACTAACAACCAATTTTTGGCACACAATCTTTCTAATAAGACCCTAATCTCCTTGAAGGTAGATATTTCCAGTCTAACGCAGTGAAAAGCACCCTTATTAGGAACATGGCCACTCAAGCGCCTTTTGAATTGAACTGAAATCGACTCGAGAAAACAGCAGTTTAAATGAATAAATACAAGGATGAACAATAGACTCATAATGTACATTAGCTCTGAGTTTTGTCTTTTTGCCTTTTCTATTTCAGTAGGTCAGCATCTGATAAATACCCCCTTCTTCCCTATTTTATCTCCCCTTAATATCAGATGCAGAACGAAAACTCTGGTGTTACTGTTGGTAGGGCATAAACTCTCACTGAAAAATGACACACAGAAAGACAACAGAATGATCTGGGGGAACAGGGGTGGGGGCAGGGGTGGGGAGGAAAGGACAGACTGGTAGAGCCAGAAGAGAAGATAGAGCCAATAAAGAAGGTAGAAGTAGAATACACAGGGCAAGTTTCCAGAGACTTGGGAATCTGTTAAGCAATATCCCCTGCAGTAAGGGGCCATCAGTAAAGTGCTGAGCCTTGATTTCATCATGTGCGTATTCCTATAATATCAGCTATACAAAATTATAAAACCCAGACTAATAAATAGGTAACTCAGAAAATTCTTAATTCATAAACACATTGCTCAAGGCAATCAGAATGCGCTCTTCTTAGCAAACAAGCAAAGGAGAGCACATTCTCATGGTTCCAAATTGGTGTCCTCAATACTTCATGTCAGTTTTCACCCCTTCTTGACTAACACTGAAAACACATTCCCTAAAAAAGGGATCGCTTTTAAACTTGGGGTCCAGCTTGGTATATTCGGGAAATAGAAATAGACACGTTCCGAAAATGGTATTGCCACTGATCATTGGTCTAATATGGATACTGGAATTTCAAAGCGGTAAGCTTATTTATTTTTTTAATGTAACTGCCTAAAAGTCCATACAAAACCATGAGTTTAGCCCTTTCAAAATCCTTAGGAGCCGAACTTTAATTCTGGAGCATTTCCACTGGACCTCTGGCAGGCAAAGCCAGTAACTTTTAATTCTGGTCATCTCCACAATTCCCTTTATTAAAAAATGTAAAATACTTTTTGAAGGAGGAGGAAGTTGGAGCAAAAATACAGAAAAATACCAGATCACAAGTACAAAGTTCTCTAAGCACACATTACTTGAAATTCTCATAGTCTAGTCATTTATTTGGAAGTAGTGACTTTATGTGGGTCCCAATATAACACTGAAAAGTCTACAAAAAGTCGTATCTTTCACTAAACATGTTTAGCAAGACGAATAATAATATATTATTGTCTTCTGATGCAAATATTGTGTTGTTTCAAAAGTGATACTTAACAGGCCCTAAAGAATAACACTTTTGTAGCCATTACCCTTTTAATCATTCCTAATGAATATGGTATCAACATTCTAAAGGACTAACTGTCCATTCTATCTTGTTCATTCTTCTATTCGAAATTGCTATTATAATTTCCCTCACTTCTGGTCATGTTAATTTTTTAAAAAAACTCTCTATTAATCTTATTTTCCTTTAAGTAAAAATCATTACCCTGGGCTACCAAAAAAGCAGCTTCTGTTCTTTATGTTTAAAACAAAACAAAACAAAACAAAACAAAACAAAAACTGCTTGTCCACCATGCTTGTCTTACAAAATTTAGAAGTCTCACTAAAGAGCTGAGGAGGAAAACTGCTGGGAATGTTCACAGATATCTGATTTTACAAGTTTTTGTGGCAAGAGCTCACCTTTAGATTAGTGTTACTCAGTGTTTATGAGGGTTGTTTGTCAAGACAAAAATAAGGTACCTCCTCCCCACAAATTAAAGAATCAAGTTACAATCCATTATTTCATTTCTGATTGTTTTTCTTTGTATTAAGTGGGAAAGTGGATACTGGATAAAAGTCTTCCCTGAGCTAAAAAGACTCCACATTAAAGGCTCCAATTAGCTATAAATCAGTTGTCTTTCCTACTGAGGGAGAACAAGAGAGAAAAAAGAGAGGGGGTATTTAGGGAAGAAGAGAACTGGAAGAGCTTCCAAATTATTAAATTCTGAAAAACGTACCTTTTGCACACCTAAAAGTTCTTTCAGAGGCTGTTAGGTAAATCCCATCGAAAATAAGACTAACATCAAAACCTTCCCAAATATGAGGGTTAGGTCTTTTCTCATGTGTAGACCTTCCATTTTAAGACCTCTAAAAAGAGCCTGAAGAGGTTAGAGACCCTCATAAAACAAAACTTTTAAGCTGCATGCTTTCTCGGCTCGTTCCTAATCCCAGAGAAGTGCCACACATTGGCACTATTGTTATGCAAACAATGCCTAAAAGGCTATAACCATTAACGACCTCTCATTAAAACGGCTTTGAAAAATTTGTCACACTATCTAAAAAAGCTAGCAGGTACATTAAATCTATCTAAATCGACATTCAAAACACAAATGGCCCTGATTTGTAATCTAAAGCTCAATGCAAGTAAAATCTCAATATTCTGATGTTGTTTCTTGCATATTTCTTTCAACCATTAAGCCAGAAGTAAACAATTTACTTCTCTACAAAATTTATCTTGTAAAAAGCATGATGGGATATATCTTTATCAACCTTTAACCGTATTGCATGTGCGTCTATGTTTGAGTTGAGAGAAGTCTGCTGTAGAAACGTACCGAAAGGAACAGAAAATCAACCCAGACAACTACAAAATGAACTCCAAGAAATGTGGTTTTGAATCCCATCTCTCTCTCCCCACCTCCCTCAAAATGTTATTACAATTCCCCGGTGTTTGTAAGCGATCATTTTTTTCCATGCAGAATTGTGGAAAATAAATGCAATTTATCTTTAGGTAGCAGACGCATATTCTTCCTTTATGCGATGCAACAACAACAACAAACCCTGCTTAGCAAACCCAAGATGTCAAAATTCGTTCTAAAAAAAGTAAATTCTTCGGTCCAAAATCGAACACGCTAACAAATTTCAAAACTTATAAAGTTTCCCAGGGAAACTGCCATTGCCTACAAAATTCACATGAAACGCTGATGTTGCATCTACCGTACTTATCAGTCAGGTTTCCGTGAAATTTGTCAAACCGGCCAGAGCGCTGATGTCTTGACAATTCCTATGGGAAAGCCCCCTCGGAACCCTCCAGGCTGCGGAGGACCTGATTGGGACCAGCAGCCGAGCGGCCCCGAAGCCCGAGGACGAAGCAGCGACGGCCCGGCTGCGCGGCCAACCTGGCGGGGAACCCCGGCCTCCCTCTGAGAACACGAAGCAGTTCCGACGCCTTCCCTGCGGAAGTCGGGAACCGGGAAAATCGCACAGAAACCGGCCTCACCCAGGGTCCGGGGCAGGAGCCGTGGACGACGGCCCCGCAGCGCGGCGCTTCAGGTTAGCGCAAGTCCCCACGGCGTCCCAAGACTGCGGCCGGGCTTCAAACGCCCCAGTCCGAAAAACAGGCAGGGCGTCCCTCTGCCGTGCAAGGATGACAGGCTGGCCCCGGCGACGCCGGCCCCCCGGCCCCGTCACGCCACCCTCACTCGCCAAAGAGATAGGGGAGAGCATAGAAGGTTCTAGAAAGTCTCCGTAGACGACGGGCGCTCGGCAGCCGCTTACCTTGGTGTACTTGATTTCGAGGTTGGGTGTGGGCGACGGCAGGAGATGCAGGGACGCCATGAGAGCGGCGGGATCGGCCTTCACCTCCCCGGGCATCTCTATCTTGCTGGAAGTCATGGTGGCGGGCCGGGTGTCGCTCGCCCGCGGCGTGGGGCGGTGCGGGGTGTGCGCGCGGTCCGCGGCCCGGGGGCGCGCTCGCCTGTATATAGGCAGGTGTCAAGCTGGGGCTCTTCTTATTGGACGTGAGGGCCCGGGCGCGGGGGGCTGGTCCATCCTACCTAGGACGCCCGGCGCAGCCCCCATTTACATAAAGCCCGCGCCACGCGGCCCGAACGCTTGGCGCCCACGGTCAAGTCCGCCCGGCGTCCCCGCCCCCAGCCGCGGGGACCAGCCTACGCCCACGCCGCTTCCACGGCCCTCGACGGCGGGAGCGTGAACTTGCGCCGCGGCCTGCGGGCCTCGGCCAACCAGACTCCAGTCTCCTGGTCCCCGAGTCGGAGTCGGCGGGAGGCGCACCGCGGCTGAAGTCGGGCGGGGGTCGTGGCCCCCGGAAGCGGAGCTGGCGGGGGCTGGTGGGACCGGAGCGGCCCCGGGCTGCCTCAGGGCGGAAAGCGGCCGGGAAAATCCAGGCTGCGGAGAACTGCTCCCAGGTCGCCCACGTCCCCTCCCATACCCGCCCCGGGGCCCACCGAACCCCGTCCCTCTTCTCTTCCGAGGACTTGGGGGGCGCGCTCCGTTCTCCTCCTCTGGGCAGCGGCACGGGGCTTTCGCCAGCGACGCCCTCTCCCCCGACTACCCGACGGCCCTCAGCCGGGCCGGGGTGCGTGGTGACCAGAAGGCAGAGGAGATGCGGCGGCGGGGTGCGAGTCCCTGGCCCTGCGCGCAGAATAAGGATCCCCGCGAGCGGGTCCGCGCGGGGCGGCCCTCGCCAGGCGTCTCCCGCCCAGCTGCTGCCCTCTGCCGGCCGGGACCGCCCGGGCGGCCTGCGCTGCGGCGGCAGGATGTGGGCCTTGGTTCCGGCCCCTCGGAGGAGCTGTGTGCTTCGTGGGCTCCTTTCGTCCTTCTCGGATCCCCGCTTCCGGCTCCTTTCCCTCCTCACCTCAGCACCCTCAAAGAAACACTGTTTTGTTTCTCTCTTGTTCATCACACACTAACAGCTATCGTCCCGCCAGATCTTAGGCTCCTCACTTGACTGTCCCTTTGGGGTTGAGCTTCCATCTCCCTACCCCCTAATTTAAATGTTTCCGAAGTCCAACAAGCTGCCCTCTAATCGGTGGGTCAGCCTGCAGGTGTAAACCAATAACCTAGAGCCCCCGCCTCGGCATGGGCTCTGGACCCTGTGGATTAATCAGGGCCGCATTGAAAAGACCTGTATGCATAAGTCCCTTCCCTTCCTTACTCCTCGTTCCAACTGTAAGCTTGACAGGGGTCTATTGAGAAATGCTTTTGCTACGCTACCAAGCAACACTGATTCACATTTTGTTGACGTTGTTGTGTTTTGTTTTAACAGACTTTGATTCTCATCCCTCTGTTTTAAGAGACCGGGTCTGACTCCATCACTCAGGCTAGGGTGCAGTGACGTCAGACTTTGATTCTCATCCTTCTAAGAGACCGGGTCTGACTCCATCACTCAGGCTAGGGTGCAGTGACGTCATCATAGCTCACTGTAATCTTGAACTACTGGACTCAGGTGATCCTACCACCTCAGCCTTCCAAAGTGCTGGGATTATAGGCGTGAGCCACCGCGCCCCGCCTGATTGTCATCTTAAATGCCATTTTCAGAGCCGCTGGAATCCCATTTCTTCGGGTGTTAAGAAAACATTAAACATCAGCCAGAAAACATCTTTCCTTAGATACTGTGAGTAACTAAAACCGTCTAACGCTCCGCGCTCAGATGCTAAGCAGTAGTGGAAACAGACAAAAATATTTCATTTCAGTATTAGGTTTATAGAAATAAGCTCCAGCCTCTCAGAACCCAAAGTGACTTAAGTGAATTGTTTTCATGGAGAAACTACAGATCTTAGTTTGGAGAGTTGAGAGATCTCTACTCACAGGGAATTTCTATGGCCAAAAATGATGACTTAATGACAGTATATGCTCATAAGATATACTTTTATCAAAGCCTTAGAAGGTTAGAGATACAATTGAGAAATAAAAAAGTAAAATCTTAGAGTTCGTTGGGGAGAAGGAGGACTTTCCAGAAAGGGGGAACAATGATACCTCTGGAAAATGCATCACTACTTATGAGGGGTTGTGGGGAAAACATGAAAAACAGCCTTAACAACATGACCTGGGTGCTCCACCAAGGAGAAGGCCTACTGCCTGGGAAAGCTGACCTTTGGCTGAATCTTAAGGAAGAAGGGAGCCTTCAACAAGAGCAAAAAGAACAGTATAGCAAAGGTATAGAGGCTGGGCATGGTGCCTCACTCCTGTAATCCCAGCACTTTGGGAGGCCAGGGTGGGTGGATCACTTGAGGTCAGGAGTTCGAGACCAGCCCAACCAACGTGGTGAAACCCCATCTCTACTAAATATAAAAGCTAGTTGAGTGTGATGAAGGGTGCCTGTAACCCCAGCTACTCAGGAGGCTGAAGCAGGAGAATCACTTGAACCCAGGAGGTGGAGGTTGCAGTGAGCTGAGATTGCACCATCGCACTCCAGACTGGATGAGAAAAGTGAAACTCAACCTCAGAAAATGAAAATAAAAAGTATAGAGACGTGAGAATATGCTTTTGGAGACACCAAATGTGTCTTTTGGAGGAGCAGCTGTCAAGGCAGTTAAGTGCAGGTCATAAGGACCTTAATGCTTGAGATACAGAGAAGCCATCAAAAGATTCCAAGGAAAAGAAAAAGGAAACCTGCATAGATTGACCAGATAAATGACTATTGTCAGGAAAGACTATCACAAACTGGAAACCATAGGTTTATATTCTCAAAGTGTAAGATGGAGTTGTTTACCCTTGACCCACCTCTTGCTTGCTAACTCCAGTTCCATCACCATAGCTCAGAAATCTCTCTTGGAGGAGGGAACAGTCAGTATCCAAGAATGATGGAATTACTAGCATTGTTATACAGTGAGGTAGAGCAAATAGATTTTCATCTCCTTCAGGCAGGAAAGGAAGTATGTCTTTGTTTCTTCTCATAAACATCTCCAAAAGGTCTAGTGCAGTAACAGGTGACAGGCTGGTTTAAATTGTCCCTTTATGGTTCCTTTTATATGATATTTATTTTCCAAATAGCCAAATGATCAGCATAGGGACTGTCTTGTTTCTCTTGTGCCTTCCTCAGTTCCTAAAACAGTGTGGAACACATAACTATTTAATAATAATTTTTGTTTAATTTGAGCAAAAGACACAGCACTTCTGACAACTTCTACCATAAGTGAAATTAACTTCTTTCACTCTCTGATTAAGGAACATTTTCTCTTCTTGATCTTAAGCTTTGTTTTGCTTTTCCCTGTCTTTTACTCTGAACTTTTCTGTTTTTTGATTTCTAAGGTCTTTTCCTTCATATAGATCATCCTTGGGGGAAAAAAATAAATTTGCTCTATATTCAGCTCAGCCATACTTTGTTCAAGCTTTTTTTTTTTTTTTTTTTTTTTTTAAACAGACTCTCACTCTGTTCCCCAGGCTGGAGTGCAATGGCATGATTCCCAGGTTCAAGCAATTCTCCTTCCTCAGCCTCCTGAGTAGCTGGGATTACAGGCACCTGCCACCACACTCACCCCGTTTTTGCATTTTTAGTAGAGGCAGGGTTTCACCATGTTGGCCAGGCTGGTCTCCAACTCCTGACCTCAAGTGATCCACCTGCCTTGGCCTCCCAAAGTGCTGGGATTACAGGCATGAGCCACCACGCCCGGCCATAGTTCAAGCTTTTTAAATCAAGGTGGGAACAAGATTTAGTGGAAAAGAACTATGACTTATAAGTGCTTCTTCAGTGTTCATCTTCTTGGTTTCAGTTTGTAAGATTTACATGGGTATTTCTTTCTTTCAAGGCTGCCTTAACATCTCAAATTATTTCCTCTTCTCTTTCGTCATCTTGTTTTAGTATTTTCTCATTTCCTCCATAGATTTCACAACAGTTAAGAACACAGTCTTTGTCCAGATGCCATGGCTTACACCTGTAATCAGGCCAAGGTGGGAAGATTGCTTGAGGCTAAAAGTTCAAGACCAGTCTGGACAACATAGCAAGACCCTGTCTCTACCAAAAAAAAAAAAAAAAAAAAAAAAAAGCCAGGCATGGTGGTGCATTCCCATAGACCTAGCAGCTCAGGAGGCTGATGGAAAAGGACGGCTTGAAGCAAGAGTTTAAGGTTATAGTAAGCTGTGATCAAACCACTGCACTCCAGCCTGGGTGACCGAGTGAGAATGGGTCTCTAAAAATGAAAAGATATTCAACTACCTTTAGATTTCTGACAATTTGAATTTCAGTCTTTTTTCCCAATTTGGTTAAGAAACTGATTTTTCCCACCTTTACAGTGTTTCTCCTTCCACTTTCCCCCATTTGTAATTATTTATTGTTTAGGATACATCTTGTGTGAAACCCCTTGCATAATGGAACCTAAGCTGCAGCGTGCTCTGTTTATTTCCTTATGAAAACACTTTATTAGGCCTGGTGGAGCCAATATCCTGGAGTTGCAGAGGAGGAAAATAAATTCTTGCCTCATATTTCCTCACCTAAATAATAGAATGCAAAGTTGTAATTTTAAGGCATCAGCTTTATGTGAAGTTTGGTTTTAAGGTATGAAGCCGTAAGGATTCGGCCTTCTTGTTAGTTGCAGTTAAGAGGAGGAAAGCATTTGTTAAGTTGAGAACCATGCTTTAGAAATCAATGAAGGGAACAAAATGCAGCTCAAAGATCCCAATTAAAGAAGATACACTTTTGATTTTGACAACAACCGAATGTCCTGCTTGAACGCCAAGCTTCTGTTTAGGGGCTATTTCAGCCTCAGGTGGTCCTGCTTAATTGCTTTCCTGTTCCCATTACTAACCATGATGACAGCCTACCTTTCCTAACTGATACACTTGCATTTCAATTTATCTTCAAAAATAAATCACACATTATAGCATTTCCCTCTTCTGGGCTAATTGAATCAGTTCCTTAAATGTCTCTATGTCTAATGATTTGAAAGAGGCACATTGTTTGAAATATTTAAAAAATTAGGGCCCTTAGGTTGTGTGCAGAATGATCTCAGTGCTTATTTCAGATATAAGTGTTTCCTAATGATCTCATTCATCTCAAATGGGATATGCCTGGCCACTTTATTTGAATTGTTTCCTGAAAACTCTAACAGGAAAGCTTAATGCAAGGTATATTTATAGAAAAATGGTATTTAATTTATTAACAAAAGCTTATAAAGAGCTATACATATTTTTATCCAGAAATGCTTAATGAAGTATTTGGGACCCATTATGAAAACTTCTATAAAATAAAGCCACTTATATTTTCATTTAACTTGAATATTAACTTTTTATGTGAGATCTAAACTCTCATTTAATTATCCTTTTCCATCTAACATCCAGAAGAAAAGAGGCAGACTGTGGCATTTATTAACCATAAAAATTCTCTAGATATTAAGTTCCTCATTTCTTGATGTGGCCTCTGGTCACTATATTCCATGAGAAGAGGTGTTTGGAGTTGCCCAGAGTAGAGTCCTTATTGGTTATGACTCAAAAACTATGTTTTGATACAAAACACAATGCTTTTAAAACGTATCTTCCACTTTTTGGGGACCCCAGGAGACAATTTTAAAAATGGGAACTAGATTTGCCTTTGTTGTAAAGCTCAGTTGCATTTCATATGTGTTCTAGAAGCTTCAATTTGGGTACTGCGATGAGTTTAGTACTTCATCAATAAGCACACTTAACAGACACAGGAAGAAATTAAAACTGCAGCTACACAACCTTTTCT